CTCCGGCGTGGGTCAAAGGGTTTGCAGACAATGTGAAGGGAAAAGAGAAATGTGTGTGAGAGATGAGTGGTTTGGTTTTTAAAATTACATAAACACCCATAATTTTTATGAGGTGGCAGATTTTGGTGGGGGTAGTTTTGTACAATAGCTTTTCCATTTATATATATAAATATATAATATAATATAATTGAAAATTGAAAAACATTTAGGGATAATTTAGTCATTTAATATAGTTTTGTAGGTCAAAGAATCATTTTGACAAAGTCAAAAGATATTTTAGTTAATTTACATGGTGTCAGAACTCTGCATGTAACGGTTGGGGTGTGAGTGAAAAACGGAACAAACATTTGCAGTATGGGTGATAGTAATTTTCGAAAGTTGTTTCAGAGTGATATTTGGCCAAACCTAAGGGAGTGTCGGTGAAATTAACCCATTTTTTTAATATATACCTCCTATTATTGAATACAAAATAAAGTATAAACACAAAATTATAATTTATTACTATAAACAAGGCGGGGCGGGGTGACATTTCCTCATCTCCTTACCCCATAACTATGCGGGTTTTCGATCCTAATTTCCATCCCTACTCCAAAACCATTTAACCATTCCCATAACCATTTTAAACGGGTCCCGGGGGGGGGGGGGGGGGGGGGGTATTCTGCCATCCGTAGGTGAGTACTCTACTTTTATTCGTTTACACTCCAATTTAAAGCAAAATAATTCTTTTAACCCTAACTTCACAAGTGAACAATTATATATTTTCAAATTACACAACTACCTTTCTAAATATGATTAGTCTCTCCCTTCCTTTCCCATCTTTAATATTTTCGATCTCTTTTACAGGCCCCAATCAAAAAAAAAAAAAAAAAAAAAAAATAGTTATTTCCATTGAATAAATTCTTCCTTTTGACACAAAAAACCTAATAAATTATCTCTTTTGAAAAAAATAAATAAAAAATAACTAAAAACCAGTTAATTTGTTGAAAAAATTTATCTTTTGGGACCAAAAAAAAAAAGTTTATAAATTATCTCTTTCGACATGACTCAAAAATAAAAGTACAAAAACAACAAAGAACAAAAAAATAATAATAATAAATAAGTATAATACACAAAAGTAAATTATCAATTTTGATAGTATTAAAAAAAAATAATACTAAACAAAATAAATAAGGTAAAATATATTAAAATTTATAGTATAAATAATAGTTATGGTATTTTAAAATAAGAGATTGTGTATTAATTAGTTTAGAGATTTTTTTGTTAATTTATTTAGAAGAAAAAGCAAGTGGAGGCTGTAGAAAAAGTGTAGTGGGGATATTACCTCCCTTCAATAATTTAAGTGATTATGGGCAATCCAGATCCAAACAAAATAAGAAGAAAACTAACTTGTCCCAAATAATCCACCCTATTCGGAAAGTTGAGAGGAGATTTATATATACCAAACATAATTCTGGTTGAAAACTAGGATATCTATGTTGAAGTCAGGTTTGATCCATGCATATACCAAATATTATTGAGACAACAATGTCACACTTCCTTCCAATTAGTTGTTTTATCAAGTAAATAGGATTCTCAATTTCTATAAATAATAAGTGAGAGTGGTAATTATGTAATTAAATTTTTTAAAAATATACTTTATATTTTTCTCTCACAAGACGAGTGAAAGAGGAAAAATAATGAATTTTAATCATTAAACAAAAACTATAATTTATATTAATTTTTGTAAGTTGGTCCTTCCTTTTGCCGCATTTCGCTCAAAGGGTTGAACGGAGATAGTACATCAAGCTGTTCGCAAGGGCCAACTTGATCCTCTTCCCCAGGGATCCCAGATGAGGGAACCCTAGGAGAGCCGCCGACTCCAACTACCGTCCATGTACGATCCATACTAGATCTGACCAACTGCCCATCCTACCTCCTCTACGTTCTTGACAGCCCATCTTTGTCTCAGTAGAGTCTTTCAGTGGCATGTTTCGGTCATTTGTCTTAGGATTAGTCAGTTTTATTTCTCGATGGGGGCAGGGAAGGGATATAACTCAACGGTAGAGTGCCACCTTGACGTGGTGGAAGTCATCAGTTCGAGCCTGATTACCCCTAAACCCAATGTGAGTTTTTCTATTTTGACTTGCTCCCTCGCCGCGATTGAATGAGAATGGATAAGAGGCTCTTGGGATTGACGTGAGGGGGCAGGGATGGCTATATTTCTGGGAGCGAACTCCGGGCGAATATGAAGCGTAAGTTGTTTTATTTGAATTTAGGTCTAATCTCCCACAAATAACATAGGACTAATTTTATTATATTTAACTATTTATCGACTGATTTTTTACCATAGGTTTACTTAGCTCCATGTTACTTGCTTATGGCCTATTAGAATAGTTTGTCTAAAGTGGTGGGTAGTTGATAGTAGTTGTACAGTATAATTCACTAATGTTATTAAAAAGAACATACCCTAAATCTAATTTCTCACCATAAAAAAAAAAATCTCGAGCGAATGCACTCTTGGTGAAATCTACTAGGACTTTGAGAGAGGAGAATACTTACTATTAATAAAAAATATATATATTATATAATATTCTTTTTATTCCTATAATTTGAATACTACATATGAAGCATCTATTTATAGATGTCTTTCTCCCTAATAAATAATCAGAATGTCTGAAGATATATAGTTAAGATCTTTCATCTAGAAATCTTCACTTAAATATCTACCACTTTACACAATTTTACTCATCTAAAAATTTATGTACCACAAATATCTAGAAACTCTCCAATATTATATGTTAAAAATCCTAACAATAAAATTGTACTCTGCATGTATCATCTAGAGTCCTACTTAATTTTAAAAAATTGTGTTATGTAATCTACAGGCGTATATAATTTGATGAGATGGAGGAGCTTGAGGCTCTAAAAATTAAGTTAAACTCAGGTCTCATCCAATGTATCTAAAAAGAACACTTTCATTTTCTAACGTACATTTAATTGAATTAACATTGTTGTTAATCTAAACTAGTTTCGAATTACATTTAGGAGATTACATAAACATGTGTGTGTGTGTGTGTGTGTGTGTGTGTATATAATGTGTGGGTGGTGCCAATTAATTTGTGCAATTGTGTGGCAAAAATTAGAAAATCTTGTAAACTCTATTATATATATTGCTATATCAAATATATATAGAACAAGTCAGAATTGATACTTGTATTAGTTCGACTCATAATTTGTTTATAAAAAAAAGAGTAAAGAGGGTTGCGTTTTTTGTTAATGAAAAAAATTATAATAATAATAATTTGCAAAATGGAGTCCACAGTTGTTTAGAGAGTAGGATTTGGCCAATCTGGATTTTTTCGGTTAGAGCACTTGCAGCGGGCTCGTGGAAGCCCAATTTCCCCTAGCCAAAGGCCTTTTGGGCCCACATCGCCCTAGCTAAAAATGTGGGTCTCATTTTCCCTTGCGGGGCGGCTCGTGGTATTTAGCAAGCCGGCTCTCGATCGTTGAATTTTTTTTTTTTTTTTTGTTGCAAAACAGCGCAGTTTTCAATTGCCTGTTTTGTTTTATTCCATTGCTCCTGGAACAGTGGCCAAACAGTGTCTTAAGGATGATGCACGTTTTCATTATGTCTTTCTCCCAGTAACGCATTGGTCCTTGCGTTATTGTCCACTTGATCTGTAATATCCCAAAAGCCCGTTCCACATCTTTCTAGCATGCCTCTTGTCGCTGAGCAAACAATTTTTCTTTTCCAGTGGTTGAGTGCGGGATGGTCTGTATCAGAGTTGCCCACTTAGGGTATATACCATCAAACAGGTAATACCCCATTATATAGTGATGTCCATTCACTACATAATTAAATGGAGGTAATTGGCCATTAACGATACCGTTGAATACCGGGGATTGATCCAACACATTTATATCATTGTGTGAACCTGTCATTCCAAAGAATGCATGCCAGATCGACAAATCTTGTGAGGCAACTGCTTCCAATATGAGAGTATTTTTGCTAGATCGTCCCCTATATGTGTCGTGCCACTCCACTGGGCAATTCTTCCACTCCCAGTGCATACAGTCGATAAAACCAAGCATACCCAGAAATCCTCTTTGCTCCCCTTCTTCAAGTAGTCGTTCTATGTCGGTTTCGTTGGGTGGACGCATATACTCCTCTGCATACACAACAACAATAGCATTACAAAATGCTTTCAAGCATTTAATGGCAGTGCTCTCGCCGATTTTAATATACTCATCATAGTGATCGGCTGCACAACCATATGCTAGTATACGAACAGCAGATGTCATCTTCTGTATAGAAAACAACCCCAGACGACCAGTCGCATCCTTTTTTTGGACAAAGTAGTCATCATAAGCTTTGACATCATTAAAGATACGAAAAAGAAGTTCTCGTCGTATCCTGAATCGCCTGTGAAAATATTCCGGTGGATATGTGCAATTCTCGTCGAAGTAGTCTTTCATTAGCTGATAGTGGCTTCCCTCTCGGTCACGATGAATGTACCGCTTCTTTTTACGGACTTGAAATACTTACTCAACTATCTCTGGCCTCACTAAATTCATAATATCATAGAATTCGTCTTGATCCTATTGAATCAACACCCCAAAAGGATCATCTTCTGAAGAGGATGACGAGGAAGATGAAGAATTAGAGTCTGCCAAAGGAAAAGATTGTGATGACAAAGCCATTCGAATTTTAAAATTGAAAAAGATGGATGATGATATTTTGCTACAATGGAGAGAAATGAATATAGTGATGATTTTTAGATGAGCAAATGAGTTTCATTATATAAGATGAAAAATATATCTTTTAAAAATATAACCGTTAAAAATATAATCGTTACGAATATAGCCGTTTAGGAAAAGTTAAAAATAATAATAATAATTTTAATTTTAGCAAAAATTCAGAGAGCCTGATGGGTGCATGTTTCTGGAAAGTGAAAGATACTAAGGTGACTTGTAAAATTACTAACCTAACTCTTAAAAAAGTTAATAGTTAATGTGGCATTTTTAGAGGGTCAAAATACAAAAGTACAAATGGCCTTAGTTCATACGTTTCTTTGTAGTTCTTTTCCCAAACTTGGCTTGTGTAATTCCATTATTAGCTGATCATTAAATTTTAAAATATTCTTCAGTAAATTAAAATTTCAGAGATACATGTCCTGCAGTGAAAGGAAATATGGCACAAGTACACAAACCCCACCCGCTAATCCATCCCCATACCACCACATCCAAACCCGTAAAGTCCACCATAGGCCCCAAAATCCGAACACAATTCACCCAGCCAACTCCTAACAACCCGATACATACTGCATGAACTCCTGATCCGATTCAAGACCCGCCATCGTCTCGGGCGCCAACAACACCTCCAGGTCAACACTACCTCCCCCTTCCCTTCCCGGAAACGCTGAAATCTTGCCGTCGAATTTATTGGCCCGCCCGCTCCGAACCGCCATGGGTCTGCCCCACCCGAAATCGTTGTCGTACATCGGAAACCTCGGCGAACTCCCCATCGTGATCATCGCGCCGTCGAAGTTCCCCAACGGGAAACAACGTGGGTCCCTCTCCCAATCCTCTACGAAGCGGCGCACCGTAGCGTTACCGTGCGCCTTCACGTTCTCGTTCAGCTGCTCCGCACACCACCGCAAATCATGAGACAACACGTCACCAGCCGAAGCGTAGGTCGGAATGCTCTGTATTGCGTTTCCAAAGAAACACGGATCGAGTTTCGGCTCGAGTCGGTGACGACAGTTCACTGCCATTCTGAACGTCGTCGTTTTTGAGGATGGAAACTTCCTCGCACGTGTCACCGCCTGCCAGAGCAATGCACAGAGTGATTGGAACGAGGAAATCTCCACCGTCTGATTAGGCGGCAACGCCGTCTCGGTTCCTTGAGATCTCGAAACCGCGTTCCGCAGCCAATTCTCGAGAATTGCCGTTACTTTGCCGTCAGCGACCTTCAGTGTGTCGTTACTTTGCTTCCCCATCAATTCAACGGTGTCCATTCCAGTACCGTAATCGTTCCGATTCCATTTCCCATTGTTTGTTTTGGCTTTGAGCTTCAGAATAGACTCTCTAGTGAAACTGAAAATTCTCTCACGGAGAGGCGCGTCAACGGAGAACGTGACCTTGGGGCCACCTTCGGGCAACCTCAGCACCGCCGGCGAAATCAGCACCGAATTGCGGCTGAAGTCAGGCGGCCTGGAAATCCTCCTGGCTCCACGACAGACCTCCGCGAACGTATTGAAGAAGTTCCAGAACGATGTCCCGTCAGTGACGGCGTGATTGACGGTGCAACCGATGAAGACCCCGTCGGCGAGCTCCGTCACCTGAACGGCCAAAATAGGCTTGAAATGACCCTCGTAGCTCACAGTTAGGTTTAAAGCGAAGAACCCTTTGACACACTCGGGCACGTGGGTGGGAGAGAGAATGTCCCGGAGGGAAATGTGGGTGGCATTGGAGTGAATGAAGTCGACGCCGGCGTCGTTACACGCAATATAGATGTAACCATTGCCGTCTGTTTTCAGACGGCCGGCGAGAGCCGGGAAGTGGGTCAGAGTCTGGGACAGGCCGCGTTTGAGGGAAGTGATTAGTTGAGTGATAGGCATGGGAGGGCGAGTGAAGAGACATCCCTTTTGAATGTAGTGACAGGAGAGCATAGGGAGGTCGGAGACTGAAAGCTTCAGGTCTCCAATGGTGGATTTAAGGTGTGGAAAGACGGTGGACACAGAGACCAGAGTTGGAGATTGGGAAGACATTTTGGGATAATGTCCAAGTCTGGGTCTCGATCACTTTGCTCTTTGTATGGGCTGAGTGAGAGAACTGAAGAGAGTTGAGAGTTGGGAATGGTTTATATAGGAGTGAGTTTGGGAGATTTGGGGGGTTGGGTTCATGAACTTGCTGAGGTGGTGGTTGCTGTTATAGTTTCTCTCTCTATCCTCTCTCTCATCATCATGAGAGATGACACTCACTGCGTTGACTGTGCAAATATTTATCCTCACTCAAAAGATATCACGGGGGTAGGGCGCGTCTTTTTGCTCCTACTACAACTAGCTAAGTTTTAAAATGCCACCACTGTATTGATGATGATTAATAGCAGGTTCTATATTTAGTAAGATAATCACTCCATAAAATAACATTTTTAAGAAGAAAAAACAAAACATTATTTTTAAGACAAAATGACAGTAGTTGAGTGGACATATTCCACATGCCCACCATTACAGTATATCTTATTTTGAGTTCAACTGAGCTCCACTTGTAAAACATTCATTAATAAATTATATTTTTTTTCTTTTTACTCCACCAATTTAAAAAAATTTTGAACTATAACTTTAGAATTAAAATGCAAACTCATTAAGATAAAAAGTAGACCATTACTAATTAACTAATTAGATTTGAAAAATAAAGTTCGAACAAATAATTAATAGAGTGAATTGTGTGAATTGAAAGGCCAAATATGGTAATAGAGTGAAACAAAAATGTTTGACATGTTATAGAATTCCTGATTATAATCTAATGAAAATCTTTATAAATGATTTGGTCCAACGCATAATTTAAAACTGATTTAGTTATTGTTTTAATCTGAAAAAGAAAAAAGGAAAAAAAAGAACTAATATAATGATATTGGGCTAAACTTAAAATTCTATAATAAAGCTCTAAAAATTAATTAACAATAATTATGAGCAAGTTTATTATTAGAAATATCTGCAAAAATCAAGTTTTAGCCACTGTTGCTAAAAGTACTATATATATATATATGTATGTATGTATGTATTTGAGGGAGATTTTGTACATAATAGTGGTATTCCTGAGCGGATAAAGAAGAAGAATCCTCTCTCAGATTTTGCTGCAAATCTCAGGAGCAACTCTAAGGTCTACAGTGAATTACTCAATTTTCATACCACTCACAATATGATTCACGTGCTCGACACGAGCAGACTCTAGCCGTAGAGAAGTACTCTGAATTTCATTATAATGGCATTCTTTGGAACGGTGAAGGGACGCGCTTAAATTGAGCGTTGGGGACCTGGGGTTAACGCTTTTCTAACACAGCAGTATATGCAACGTGTAGTAAAAGTTTTTAACATTGATGCTGACGTGGCGTGCATGCAAATCCCGATAATGTTAGCTAATTGGAAACATTGGCTTTGAGCCTTTGATTTATAATATCACAGCATATCCTGATTGGGAATTGGAAAATCGGACTTTCTTTTTGTGTTTATAGTTTTTGTTTTTCCTGCGTCCAATTAATTTTAAATGCATTTAAGTCAAGCATACACAAATTGATTTTTTAGTTTATGTAGAATGTTTGGCCTAGGTCGCATGAGAATTTTTTTTATTTTTTTTTGATGAGGTGGCTCAATAAAATGTCAATAGGTATTTAAAAAATTTTTTATTATTAAAAAAATGATGAATATAGACAATAAAAACTTCAAAAAGTATACATAGGCTATTCAATCGACTTTTCCTACGATGGGAAAGCCATCGAGCTCCATGGAATCGTTCCAAATTCCAACTTGACGTCATAGATCTGAAGTTGAACCTATTGCCGGAGTCATAAAACGACACCACCAAATATGAACGCGAGCAATCCATTATCCTGCCACCACCACTATCTATAAAGGACGACATCGATGTAGAGGAGTACGGACTCGAAGGCTATCAACAGTGGAATGGTGAACTACTTCTCAACTCACAACTAACATGGTCTAGTTCACTAAAACGAAAAACATTATTTGATTTTAGATTCAAAAAACACAAAAGTAATATATATCGCTGCGTAAGAAAGAGAAAGAATGAATGATTAAGGGTCAGCTTCTATTCCCTGTAATCATCATTTTCTTTTCTTTTAAAATTTTAATACCTATTAATGTTTTATTGAGTCACCTTACTTAAGAAATATGTTTTTTCTTTTGCGGCCTAAGGCAAGCATAGTTCTTAGTTTATTATGTATAATAGGAGTATGTTTTTGTACCAAAAATTAAAGATAAAATAATTTATTATATTTTGAATACTTCAAACAATTGACAAAGTTATACACGTGAGAAAAAAAAAATGACAAAAACAAAGTTATAAACCATTCATAAGTCTAAAACTTAATTAAGTACGTTGCATTCGATCTTAAAGAGATTGCTTGCAACATACAAATAAATACCAGTGATATCTCTTGAGGAATTCAAGTTTCGGTATGGAGTCGCGGACAATGTGTGTGTAAATTCTGGCCCAAAAAAAAAATTGCATAACAAATATTACATTCTAATCATATCATCCTGTTAGTCCTATTCAACTTTGTCTTTGAAAGTGTATTGAAATTAAAATAATAAATAAATAAATAAAAAATTTAGCTCAAATTCAATACTTCCAAAAATAAAATTAAATAATTTTAATACGAAATTTTTATAAATAACAATGAACAAATGCAAACAACTTGTTTAAACAAATATTAATGCACATCAACTCAGATAATACGATCTCGACCTTTTCTCTTTAAAAAAGAGGTTGAGTGTTAGAATCATGTTCAAAAATAATATTTTTGACTACGGACTATCTACTTGAAATTTTAAAAGATTAATAAATAAATTTGCTTAAACAGATGGTGCAGTAAGAAATATGTTACAGACGTTTCCATGACAACCGTAATAATCCCACAAGAATTTTAATTAAGCATATGAATGGCGCCGACTATTTGAGCTCTGTATGTTGGCTGTCATTCTCCGTATCCCAGAAAAAGGTCGGTATCGGAATCTTTAATGTTATTACTCTAAGAGCTGCATGCAATTTGAACCATCTCGCAAGAAATTAATAATTATAAATGACTACTTGTCTTATTTTTATATATTTCTTCTACAGCTTATGTACAAGATTACCTGTTGAAAAGGTCGGTTAATCAACCAAAAAATAATCATCAAAAACCGCCAATTCTGATTTGTCGGTGTCTGCAGTATACAATTGTATAATACTAAGAATATATACAAGTATATGACACACTTTGTTTAAGTAACTATGTATGTGGCTTAATTAAATTGTTTGACTTTGTAGGTCCATTGCTTCTTATATTCCTTAAACATATGTTAGGATTAGATAATCGATGATCTGGGGTGTCTAAGTACTTGAACCCTAGTGAGTAGTGGCTGTTGTTGCCACGTGTACGTATGACAGTTCAATACCAACCGTGAAGAATTTTTGATATTATATACCAGGATGTTACGATAATAATATTGTATAATCTGTTGGTTTTTTTTTTTAATTTACGTGAAAGTTTGCATTGCTAGTGTACATGCATGAGTGACAGACAGCTGTACACCGAATGAACTTGAACTCAATTTTTTTATTAACTGTATTTTTTTAGTGTAAAAAAATAGTCCAATAAATAGTTTTTATATCCTTCCCATATTTACAAAAATACCGTGTCATTATCTTAATTTAGATTAAGTTATCTATGAAACTAATTTATTAAATATAGTGACAGGATGTGTGACATTTTTTATGGTTGGATAAAGACGGGAAATGTATGAAAAATGTAAATTCAAAATGTTAACCATGTAATCGTAAATGTATTGTCTTTTTTACTAATTTCTTTCTGACAATTATATATGAATATGTTACCTTATTACTTGTGTAACAATGCATTATGTTAAAATATGAGGTATGGTGCTCTCTATTTAACTTTTCGTGTTAATAAATGCAGTGACACGCTAGCTGACACAAATCTCTACATTTGTGGCCAGCATGCGGGCTAATTGGGTTAGCTATACATATAAATTTTAATTTATTTTAAAGAAATGTGAGAGAAAGTGGGCCTTGCACCTTATATTTAGTGAAGCTATTATGGTGCGGGGCTCCGAAGTGGTGAGTGGAGCCTCACACCATGTGTTTGGCTCTCTAAATTAAGAGTCAAACAATTGCACATTGCAGTGCACTAAAGATGCTCTTATGGTTAAATACACAATGAAAGCCTAACAAATTTAATGACCTGATATATATGTTCATGGTCGTTGAATGAAAGTACGAAAATATATTTATTTAGGGTCTGTTTAGTTTATCACTCATCAAATAGTTATGAAGAACTTAAAAAGCAAAAAATTATTTTAAAAATATATATAAAAAGCAATTCTAAAACTAAATTTTTTAACTGAATTTTTAAAAAATTAACTTTTGTCCATCTTTCTGTGTTGCATTACTGGTCTAGCTTCCACACAAAAAAATGTGTTAATTTGTTTGATCTGTCCATCTTATGTCCACAATCACCAATTCATTCAATATAGATGGTCAAAATACATATCATTACACAGAGTGTTCTTATCTTGACCTCCCTACCTGCACAATTGTTGAAGCTAGCTCTTGTCATTTGCTCTTGTCATTTAGTCATGCCGATAAATATAATTTGGACAAAACAGGTTTCCTTCAATTACATACGTACAGCACATTCATAGTACCTATACACCTTATATACTCTCACCTAAGTTGCTTTGGGTGACTATACATAAATACAAGTCAAGAGGCGAGTTGATATATATAAGTATCAGTATGTATTTTATGGCATGCGTTCATGTACCTTACAATGAACATAACATATTCGAACTTTTACATTCTCTGAATTCATTGGCCGGCCCAAAAACACCTCAAATTCCCAATAATACCCTTGCCAATAAATCATATTTATTCCAAATTGTAATGATGTCGAGGGCATTACGGTCATTTTGCAGGGAGAAATATGAACCTCGTGTTTACAATATTCTCAACAATGTGAATTATTTGGTGGGTTGAAGAAGAAGGTAAGGGCAGTTGGTATATATTATAAATATG